TAAAGATATATGTGCAAGGATGTTCACTACAACCTTTATTTAATAAGAATTGGAAAGAACCTTAAACGTCTATTCAAAATGGTGAATAAATTACATGTCTACACAATGAAGTAATAACACAGACTTGAAAAAGAATGAGGTAGTTCTATGTCACTAAACTGGAAAGAGAAAAGACATATAAAGTATAAAAAGCAAACTGAAAATGGTTCTTCTCTATATTTGAAATTTTTCATAATAAAAAAATGAGAAAAAAAATGGTAAGGGAAAATTAGATGCTTTGCCTTTTCCTAAGTAAAAATCCCAGAAGTCTGGACAGTGGAAAACTGCCCTACTCCTCCCCTCCCTCTGTGCCCCCATCTCACCTTATCTGATCACTTATGTACTTATTTACTGAAGTAAAAACAATATTACAAATATGTATTTAAAAAATTTTAAATTATACTTCACCCCATCATTATAATTTTTGTTTATTCCTGTATTAGAAATCCCTTGGCATAAGTGCCATTGAAACTCAGCATCATTTCATTTTTCCTGAACTATAATGCTTTTTAATTTTAAGTAAGGAATACCCTTCCTTTGTTTAAAGAATACACTTGTATTCTAATACACTCATAAATCTCAGCCAAGTTTCAAAGGTGGTAATAAATTTGTGTTAAGATCTCAGACTCTTATTATTTTGTGTTATTAAATAGATGAAAATAAGAGATCATAGCACTGTGTTCACTCTCTTTCCCTACTATTCTCCTGTGAAAAATACTGGGTACTTAATTATTATTCTGTCAGGGGTCAACAAACGATGGCCCACTATCTATATTGGTATGGGACAAAAACTAAGAATAGTTTTTACATTTTTTAATGACTGAGGGGTAAATCCAAAGGCAATAAATATTTCATGATGTGAAAATTACACGAAATTCAAATTTCAGCATCCATAAGCAATTCTATTGGAACACAGCCATGCTTGTTTAGTATCGTCTATTGTTTTCACACTACAAGAACAAAATTGAGTATGAGCCGCAAAACCAAAAAGATGTCCTCTCTGGCTCTTTACAGGAAAAGTTTGCAACCCCTGTACTATGTCATACCACATGCCCTTCATAATTTTACAGTTCTACCTAGACATAACCCCCCCCCTTCTTTCCATATTCAGCATTAAATTCCCTTAATGTTAGTCACTAGACAAGCACATTCTTCATAGTCTTCAGAATTCGATTTCCTCCTGGTAATTTCCTTGGTCTAATCACTTCCCTGGTCATCCACAAACAGAAAGCCAGAAAGGAGCTAGCAACATCCTAAATGCCACATATTAACAAATCAAAAGACAAACCAAATCTCACCACCATCACTCTCCCTCCAAAGCCAAGGCTAAAGAGGCTGAACACCCAGTTAGTGGCTTTCAAATTACTATACCTTAGAATTGAGGTGTCTGTGAACTAGAACAAGTGCTGCTGCTGCTGCTAAAATCTCTAACGGCCAAATAGCAATGAGAAAAAAAAAGGTGATAAATGTAATTTTTTCAAATTTAATCTTCTTCAAATTGTTGGCTACCAAAAAAGAAAAGTCAACAAAAACCAAAGGAACAGTAACGAAAAAGTAGACCGATTAAATTGTATCAATAACTTAGCATGTAGGATCCTAAATCTTTGTATCTCAGACATTTGATCATATTTTCTGCAAGAAAATAGTTTCTGGCTCCCAGGATGAGAGGTTAAATAACGCAGTGTCTGTAAACAGCAGCACAACTTACACAGGAACAAGTTAGACTACTTCCTCTCCAAGAAAAGTACATTAAAATTTGCTCATATCTTTTTTTTTTTTTTTTTTTTTTTGAGTCAGAGTCTCACTCTCTTGCCTGGGTTAGAGTGCCGTGGCGTCAGCCTAGCTCACAGCAACCTCAAACTCCTGGGTTCCAGCGATCCTCCTGCCTCACCTTCCCGGATAGCTGGGACTATAGGCACGCGCCACCAGGCCCTGCTAATTTTTTCTATTTTTAGTTGTTTGGTTAATTTCTTTCTATTTATAGTAGAGACGGGGTCTCGCTCTTGCTCAGGCTGGTCTCGAACTCCTGAACTCAAGCAATCCTCCCGCCTTGGCCTCCCAGAGTGCTAGGATTACAGGCGTGAGCCACCCGCCTGGCCTGCTTATATTTTTCAATCAACACTCTGCCTGCCAAATATTGGGGTCGGGGAGGGGGACAAGCTATCTTTTCCATCAGCAGTGTCATACTCTACCTAGCTCCTCCTGCCGGCCCCTTCACACCTCTGACCAGCACTAACTCCTCCCCAGCTCCATCACCTCTATCTACTCAGCACCTCTTCCCTGCCCTATCACACCTCTACCAGCTGACTCTTCCCCAGCCTCATCACTCAGCACCTCTTCCCTGCCCCATCACATTTCTACCAGCTGACTCTTCCCCAGCCTTATCACCTCAGCCGCTTCCTCCAAAAATCACAGACCCGAGAAGCTTCCAGCAGCGGGAGAGCAAAGCTAGAAGACTATAATGCAAAAGTCTGGAGTTCCATCTGCCCTTGCGGAGAAAACTCAAGACACAGCTCCAAAAGCAGAAAGAAAGGGCCGTGGCTCTCACCCAGTTCACGAGTGTTTACTGGGAGCTTGCTCCGGTCAGACCCCGCAGGAGGAGCTTAGGATACAAAGGTGAGCAGCAGGGTCGCAGGACCAGCTCTCTCCCGGTTCCCACTCCAAAGGGGAAGGTAGATAGTTTCCATACAGTTCGCAAGGCAGGACAGGAAGCACTTGAAGCCCACCAAGAGGAGAACTTACCTGATCGCTCAATGTTAAAAGGCTAAAACTTAACTAGTCGGAAGTGACGTGCCAACTGAGACCCGCAGGTCCGCCACGTAATTGGCCGCCGCCTCAACTAGCCACCCTCTCCCTGGACTGGCCCGCGGAGAGGAAAAGTGTGGCTGAAAGTCCACAACCCGCCCTCGTCCCGCCCTCGGCGACTCCCAGCCCCAGCGGGGAGCGGCGAAGCCAGGCCAGAGCTGGAGTCCGCAGCCTGGACAGCACGGCCTCACCGACCTGGGCGCGCGTCCGGCGCCCTGCGGGCAATGGGCTTCAGCGCCTCACCACGCGCATGCGCGGCCCCCTTTCTCCAGAGGATTCCTCGGGTCACCTGGACGCCGGCATCTCAGCCACCTGCCCCTCCGAGTCCCTTCTCGCCCTTGACTCCGCGTTCTGGTTCTCACCTCCGGCCTCTTGCCTTCTCCTTCATCCGCAGGCATCGCTAGACCCGGCCGCAGCCGCCCGCCGACAACCCAGCTGCCACTGACACGAGCCTCGGCGCGGCTTCCGCTTCCGGCGAGTATTGTGTGTCGCGCCGCGGGGCGGGGGCGAGGGGAGGAGGAAGGAGGGAGGCAGCACTCCGGCGGCTCCGCGCCCCGCACTCCCGGACCCGAAGCCGGGAAGGTAGGTGCTGTCCCGCCGCCGCGCCCGGGCCTGGGGCCTGCCCCCGCCGGCCGGCTCTGCACGCCGCGTCCCAGCGCCCCGCGACTGCGTCACGGGCCCCCAGCACGTAACCACAGCTGCCTCCGCCCGCTTCGGGCCCGGGCGGACGTTTTGCCGCCCCGGCGACGTCAGCGCGTCCGGCGTTGCTTGGCTACCCCGCCGTTCCCCCCGTCCCGCTGCGGCTCGCCTCCCCGGGTGAAACTCTGACGCAGTCACCGCCGGTCTCGGCTGCGTCATAACGGCAGACATCCCACCTTCACGTCACACCTCTTCCTCACCTGGGCACGCATCCCTCCCTCCCCCGCCAACCGCGACGTTTCCTCTGCCCTTTCTCCAATCCCCCTACCCCTGATCTGGCGAAGAAGATGGAGATGGGGGGTGTGGGACAGGGTTATGGACAAGGCTCAGGAGAGGGTCGCAAGGTGGGACCCCTAACAGTGGTAGAAGCAAAATGAGGACGTCTCTGAAGTTTGCCCTTCAACTGAGATATGAGGAATAGAGGGAGAGGAAGGACAAACCCAGGGCCACCCAAGGTCTCACTGTGGCTGTAGCTCCAAGTCCTTTCCATTCTTCCCTAACCCTCTCCACATTTCTCTTTCACACCACTTCTTTGCCAGTCTAGATCCATCCTGGTGCTCCACTGTGCATACGATGCAACATATCCCAGGTGAGGAGGCCATCTAATTTCTAGAGGACTGAGGAAGGGGCGAAGTCACTAGTCAAAATTGGATTCCCGTAGGTAGAGAAAAATAATCTGACTGAACTCCTACTGTTGAGAGAAGAAATTCAGGTCTAAATAAGTTATCAACTCCTACTCCAAAGTAAACACTTGAATGTGTACCATTGATACAAATAATCGTTAATTAACTAATTACATAGCCACTTCTCTCTCAGCATATAGATCTACCATTTCCTTCTGTTAGGTCCCTTGGGGGTCGGAGGAAGAAAGGGTTATGAGGATAGAGAAATTTTATTCATCGATAAAAATGTTGACGTTTTAAAGATGGAGTGGGTAACCAGCCTTCCGCTTTATAAATCTCTCTGATGCCATTTCCGATTCTTTTGATGCTTCACTTGAGGGAGATTTGATTGCCTTTTTCCTTTCTCTAAATTCTGAACCACTCCAAATAAGTTGGGGACACAGTATATAACAGTTCCAAATGTCTAAATGCACACAAATAGAAATGAGATGTTGTATGAAACATTTCATTCCAAGAAGAGGGCACATTTTCTCCAGGCTAGTCTGATAAGAGGAAGAATAATTTCAAATTTTCCTGAAAAGAGGATGCATGCGTGTTACCTTTGCCTAACTCATTCAATTTATTACCCTTTGGAAGAATAAGAGAACAGTGGCAGAGAATCAAGCTTAGGCTCTAGTGGACTATTATGATAAAACTCTTCTGTAACAATAAATTTTAAAATATATCTAATTTAAGAAATCTTAATACTTTGACTTTTATGACACTTTTTACTTCCCAAACTCCTCTCTCATCTATTAGAAACAAATGTTAAACTAGGATATGGTGGGCTGGAACTATTGGTTCTAAGGTACAAATGGGATCAGCTGGATCAGGAGGAGTATGCTGAGCTAGAGTTGAAGGAAGCCTCTGTTTCTAACAAGAGAAAGCAGAGGTAAGAGACGAGAGATAGAATGGGGGTTGTGTGTCAGTTTGCTGAAGAGAAAAAAAAAATAGGTTGATGGCTGGGAATCACAAGTTTTGGAAATGGAGAAACGAAGTTGAATCTAGTGGAAGAAAAAATGGAGAATAACTAGCTGGGGCCAAATCTGGAGTTAAGGTTTAGCATGGGGGTAAATTTCAGGCCAAAAAAATTAAACCTCCAACTAATATTTATCTTTTCTCATCTCCAAGTTAAATAATGGCCGAGACGAGTCTGTTAGAGGCTGGGGCCTCTGCAGCCTCCACAGCTGCAGCTCTGGAGAACTTGCAGGTGGAGGCAAGCTGTTCTGTGTGCCTGGAGTATCTGAAGGAGCCTGTCATCATTGAGTGTGGGCACAACTTCTGCAAAGCTTGCATCACCCGCTGGTGGGAGGACCTAGAGAGGGACTTCCCTTGTCCTGTCTGTAGAAAGACGTCTCGCTACCGCAGTCTGCGGCCTAATCGGCAACTAGGTAGTATGGTGGAAATTGCCAAGCAGCTTCAGGGTGTCAAGCGGAAGATCCGGGATGAGAACCTCTGCCCTCAGCACCATGAGGCCCTCAGCCTTTTCTGCTATGAGGACCAGGAGGCTGTATGTTTGATTTGTGCAATTTCCCACACCCACCGGGCCCACACTGTTGTGCCGCTGGATGACGCTACACAGGAGTACAAGGTGGGGAACCAGACGTGTGATGCCAATGTGGGGAAAGAGGGAGGAAGCAGGAGAGGATGGGATATTGCCTGGGTAGAAATTGTAAGCTCCTGGTACTCACCCGGTAGTCCCCTCAGAGCTACATACACAGGGGACACACAGTATGTCTGGTCAGTTGTCCTCTGGCATGAAAAAGAACAGTGTGGAGGAATGCCCCAAAATTCCTCTGTGACTTTTGCAATATATTTGCATCTTATGGGTGAATATTGGTATTTGTGGTCTTGGGATATATCATATTTTTCATAAGCGAATGCAACCACATAGAGCAGATCAAATTTAGGAAGAACTGAAAAGTAGTCTGGTTCTGCCTCCCTACTCAGAATGTTCTGTGTTTTCCCATTGGTATTGGGAATAGATAACTTCACTTTAAACTGATACCCACCAGACTAAGCTGAACCATTCTGTTGTTTGCATCTTCCCCCGATAATGGGTAACATGGCATCTTATTTAACTTACTGCTGGAACACAGGTAAATGTTTGAGTAATGGAAACCAGAGTTGTTAATGTCTTAGCACTTTATCATATTCTTTGCTTAATAAAATCTTGAAAACAAGATTTAAAGTAATTTACAGTATAATAATCAAGTTTTTATTGTAGGTGAGGTGGTTAGAGTTGGATGGGAGGACAGGTTTAAAGAAAGATATCAGGGTACAGAAGGTAGCTTTGATGGTAATAGGCAGTTGCCTGAGAAAGAAAATGGAAAGGGCTGGGGAAGGACACAGAGTTGGCAACTGGACAGCCATTTCAGATTCAGTGAGAGGACAGTTGGGTGAACAGGGAAGGTGATGGGGACAAGTCTGTGGCAGAAGGGACATGTAGGAGGTTGACATCCCAAATGGTGGGAGTGGTGAGATGGCTAGGAAGCAAACAGATGGGTTAACCTCTGAATGATGAGTGTACCAGCCAACCCCAAATGTCACCTCTCCCACTTCCTCCCCACCCCTCAGGAAAAACTGCAAAAGTGCCTGGAGCCCCTGGAACAGAAGCTGCAGGAGATCACCCGCTGCAAGTCCTCTGAGGAGAAGAAGCCTAGTGAGCTCAAGGTAAGGGCAGGGGATCCCATTTGGGCTGCTCTGCAGGGTATTTGCCTATGAAGGAATTAACCACACATTATTTAATCCACCAGTTTTGGTTCATTAGAAAAATGCTGTTCTCTCAAAAATGATCGTATTTTATTAGGCTTGACTATAATTAAACATTGTACTTAAATTACTTCTCATGAATTAAATATTGAAGAGAGGGGTATAAGAGATAAAGAACAGATGGACCATCATATATGTGATGAGTTGAGGGAATTCGTGCCCACCAGTCTTTTGGTTAAAGCAGCAAAGGAGGCTCTGTGCTGAGTATGCAGGGATAGGAGTTTCACAGAAGACTGAAGAGAGGAGAATTTGGAAGGTTCACTGGGGAGGGAGGGAGAAGGAGCTAACCAAGAGTCTCAGAACTGCCCAGTGACATTAGGGCCACATTCTCATAACTCAAGTAAGGTCAAGTATGCTAGATGATATTGGTTCATTTCTAGAATATTTGTCCCTACCCCATCCTCCACTCACAGGATCTTATCCATCCTTCAGGCATGGTGAAAGCCACTTCTATGCAGCCTTTCCTGACCCTTCAGAAATTAACTTCCTTAATTGTCATACAATTTTGCATCTCTTTTATAACATTACCTTATTTTTAGCATGGTATTTTGATATCTGTCTCATTTCTTCTTTTGGACAGTGAACAATCATTAGTAGCAAAAATTATAACTAGAATTGAGTCCTGTGCATTGATTCATTGAGTGTCCATGTGACATTCTAAATTTACACAGTTGTTAGGGTTCTTCCCAGGTTGGAGTTCTAAGAGTTTAGGCCAAATTAGAACAAGTGGGACACAGAGAAGCTACAAGACAAAGAGACAATGAGAAGGAAATCCTGAGGCCATCTTTGGTAGATGTAGGGGTAAAGTTAGATAATCTGCCAGGTAGATAATATTACCCCCAGGTGTCATAGGAAATGGAACTTGGGTAAGTATCTAGTCCAAGATCAGACAGCCCGTAGTGGCTAAGGAAAAAAACTAGGAATGCTAGTTCTTCATGAATCAGTAAATATTTATTAAGCACCTGGTGTAGGCCAAACTATGTATTTGACACTGAGGAACAGTGATGAGCAAAAACAGTTCTTCCCCTTCTTGAGTTTAACAGATGGAGAAAATAGATAATGGCACACAAAGCACAGCTGTAAGTTCATAAGAAGACGACATAGAAATTTGACCTCATTAAGGGCTTCTAAAAGAAGTAATGAGTTTTTACAGTTGAGATTTAGGGATCACCAGAAATTAAACACAAGTTTTAAGAATAGGAACAGTAACTTTTTAATGAATGACAGCATTTCAACAGAAAGCAAGTGTTATTACTAGGGTGCTTTATACATTTTAACAAAGCAGACATTTGAATTTTTAAAAATTTGAACTAATTTTGGTTACAAAGGTGAACTTTTAAAAAAATTCTTTGTTCTTTTGGAGGCCTCGTGAGAAACTTAAAATACATGAAAACGGAAATTACTTCCAGTCATTAACTTTCCTTTTCATGTTGATTATCTTCTTGAAGGCAAAACATGGAGAGGGAAATAAAATTTTAAAATTTTAAAAACCTTGTAAATGCTTGAACAACTGTACTGTTTTTTTTTTTTTGAGACAGAGTCTCACTCTGTTGCCCTGGCTAGAGTGAGTGCCATGGCTTCAGCCTAGCTCACAGCAACCTCAAACTCCTGGGCTCAAGCGATCCTACTGCCCCAGCCTCCCGAGTAGCTGGGACTACAGGCATGCGCCATCATGCCTGGCTAATTTTTTCTATATATTTTTAGTTGGCCGATTAATTTCTTTCTAATTTTAGTAGAGGCGGGGTCTCGCTCTTGCTCAGGCTGGTCTCGAACTCCTGAGCTCAGACAATCTGCCCGCCTCGGCCTCCCAGAGAGCTAGGATTACAGACGTGAGCCACCGCGCCCGGCCTACAACTGTACTGTTTTTAAAACTGTAAATTATCATTTCAGTGAAACTACCACCACCATTCCTTTTGTGACCATTTGAATTCTTCTCTTTCTTCTTGATCATACTTAATGCCCCTTTTAAAAATAATTTGTAATTAACTATACTGAAATGAAAATTATACATAAAATAACCTAGCTACATAATTTTAAAGAAATTTATGTCCAAATATAATATAAGGAAAAGTAATTTATAATAAAATCTGGGCCAGGCACAGTGGCTCACTCCTGTAATCCTAGCACTTTGGGAGGCCAGGGCAGGAGGATTGCTTAAGATCAGAAGTACAAGACCAGCCTGAGCAACATAGCGACCCTGTATCTACAAAAAATAAGACAAATTAATTGGGCATGGTGGCACATGCCCATAGTCCCAGCTGCTTGGGAAGATGAGGCAGGAGGATCACTTGAGCCCAGGAATTTGAGGTTGTAGTGAGTTAGGATGACACCACTGCCCTCTAGCCCAGACAACAGCGTTAGACCCTGTCTCAAAAAAAAATTAAAAATGAAAAAATAAAATCTGGTGTGTAAATATTTGGGCATGACAACCCTTAAAGACTCTACAGTGTAGTTATATGCTTGCACATACATGTGACATCATCAACAATGTAATAAATACAAACTCAGACTGAGATAGATGTATGGCAGTGTGACTCAAACACCACAAACTGCTTAGTTATTGGTAACATGATTTTTCAAAATAATATCTTAAGTTCTAAGAAAAACAAAATATAGTCTTGAGGAGTTTTACTCAACCTTTCCTGAAAAATTTGGGTACAGTAAAACCATGTAAGAATTACTCCTTGTTATACTGTATAAAATGGCATTCAAGCCCAGGTATACTTTTTTTTTGACACAAAGTCTCACTCTGTCACTCTGGCTACAGTGCAGTGGCGTCATCATAGCTCACTGTAACCTCCAACTCCTGGGTTCAAGCGATCCTCCTGCCTCAGCCTCCTGAGGAGCTGGGACTACAGACACACGCCACCACGCCCTGCTGATTTTTCTATTTGGTAGAGACGGGGTCTCGCTCTTGCTCAGGCTGGTCTTGAACTCCTGGCCTCAAGCAGTCCTCCTACCTCTGCCTCCCAGAGTGCTAGGATTACAGGCGTGAGCCACCACGCTCAGCCCAGAGCCACAGTTTACAAAAGGAAATTCCAGTGGAGAGAAAAATGAATGTCCTATTAAACTATTTTCAATGAAACTAGAAGTGTGTGTTAATTTGTACACATGGTAGGTGGGGGAAAGGCTCCCTTTTGCCCCACTGACCCTACTGGTACAACATCCTCCCTCTTTTCTCAGAGACTAGTGGAGAGTCGCCGACAGCAGATTTTAAGGGAGTTTGAAGAGCTTCATAGGCGGCTGGATGAAGAGCAGCAGATGTTGCTTTCACGACTGGAAGAGGAGGAACAGGATATTCTACAGCGACTACGAGAAAACGCTGCTCACCTTGGGGACAAGCGCCGGGACCTGGCCCACTTGGCTGCCGAGGTGGAGGGCAAGTGCTTACAGTCGGGCTTCGAGATGCTTAAGGTTCGACCTTTGCCCCTGCATAGCCCCTCAGGTCAAGTGCAGTGTAGCTTTGCACATGCTGCTCTGTCAGCCCGGGAAGCTCACTCTTCTTCTCTGCTTCCCTAAATCCAATTCTTTCTTCCAGACATCCTCAAAAGGATTGTTTTCTACAGAAAGGCTGCTTTGATTTCTCCTATCCCCTTCTAATCATTTTTGTGTTCTTACATTTTGTCAGCAATTACATGCTTAATCTGTACCAAAGAAAGAATTCACTCTTTTGAAAGGAAGGAAGTCTAGTCTGAATGAGTGAAAAACTACGCATTAAAAATTTTGTAAATGCAGTTACCATTACCTTTAAGTCCTGGAACTTGATTTATCTAGTGCTTAGAATAGAAACATAGTTTAAAGGATACAGGCACACCTTGGAGATATTGCAGGTTCAGTTCCAGACCACTGCGATAAAGCAAATAACCACAATAAAGCAAGTCACATGAATTTTTTGTATCCTAGCGGAGTTGCAATCTTTTTCCTGGTGGAGGGTCTTGCTTCAATGTTGATGGCTGCTGACTGATCAGGGTGGTGGTTACTGAAGGTTGGGGTGGCTGCGGCAATTTCCTAAAATAAGACAAAGTTTGCTGCGTCAGTTGACTCTTCCTTTTACAAAAAATTTCTCTGTAGCATGTGATGCTATTTAATAACATTTTACCTACAGTAGAACTTCTTTCAAAATAAGAACCAATCCAGTCACGTCTTCAGGCTCCACTTCTAGTTCTAGTTCTCTTGCTGTTTCTACCACATCTACAGTTACTTCCCCCACTGAAGTCTTGAACTCCTCAAAGTCATCCATGAGGGTTGGACTCAACTGCTTCCAAATTCCTGTTAATGTTGACATTTTGACCTCCTCCCATGAATCCTGAATGTTCTTAATGGCATCTAGAATGGTGAATCCTTTCTAGAAGGTTTTTTGATTTACTTTTTCCAGATCCATCAAAGGAATCACTGTCTATGGCAGCCTTATGAAATATATTTCTTAAATAAGAGTTGAAAGTCAAAATTACTCCTTAATCTATAGGCTGCATAATGGATGTTGTTTTAGCAGGCATGAAAACAACATTAATCTCCTTATACATCTCCATCAGAGCTCTCGGGTAATTGACTAGACGCACTGTCAATGAGCAGTAACATTTTGAAAGGAATCCTTTTTTTCTGAGCAGTAGATCTCAACGGTGGGCTTAAAATATTCAGTAAACCATGCTGTAAACAGATGTGCTGTAATCTAGTCTTTGTTCTTGCATTTCTAGAGCACAGGCAGAGTAGATTTAGCATAATTCTTACGGGTCCTAGGATTTTTGGAATGATAAATGAGCAATGGCTCCAACTTAAAGTCACCAGCTGCATTAGCCCCTAACAAGAGAGCCAGCCTGTCCTTTGAAGCTTTGAAGCCAGGTCTTGACTTCTCTTCTGTAGTTGTGAAAATCCTAGACGGCATCTTCTTCCATTATAAGGCTGTTTTGTCTTCATTGAAAATCTATTGTTTAGCATAGCCACTTTCATCAATGATCTTACCTAGATCTTCTGGATAACTTGCTGTAGCTTCTGTCTCAGCACTTGCTGCTTCTCTTTGCACTTTTATATTCCGGAGATGGTTTCTTTTCTTAAACCTCGTAAATCAACTTCTAATTTTGAACTTTTCTTCTGCAGCTTCCTCACCTCTCTCAGCCTTCATAGAATTGAAGAGAGTTATAGCCTTGCTCTGGATTAGGCATTAGCTTAAGAGAATGATGTAGCTGATTAGATCATCTGTCCAGACCACTGAAACTTTCTCCATATCAGCAATAAGGCTGTTTGGTTTTCTTATCATTTATGTTTTCACTGGAGTAGCACTTTTAATTTCCTTCAAGAACTTTTCCTTTGAATTCACAGCTTGGCTGTTTGGCACAGGAAGTGCATAGCTTTCAACTCATCTTGGCTTTTGACATGCCTTCCTCACTAATAAGCTTAATCATTTCTAGGTTTTGATTTAAAGTGAGAGATGTATGACTGTTCCTTTCATTGAACACTTAGAGGCCATTATGGGATTATTATAATAATTGGTCTGATTTCAATACTGTTGTGTCTCAGGGAATAGGAAGGCCCGGGGAGAGGGAGAGAAATGAGGGAATGGCCAGTGAGTGGAGCAGTCAGAACACACACATTTATTGACTAAGTTCATCATCTTTTTATATCAGAATGTTTTAGGGGTACAAATGTTTTGGTTACATGGATTGCTTTTGTAGTACTTGATTCAAAGTTATAAGTGTGCCCATCACCCAAATAATGTACATTGTACTTGTTAGGTATGATTTCACCCATCCCTTCCTCCCTAAGTTCATCATCTTGTATGGGCACAGTTCATGGCACCCCAAAACAATTACAATAGTAACAGCAAGGTCACCAATCACAGATCATCATAACAGATATAATGATAATGAAAAAGTTTGAAATATTGCAGGAACCACCAAAATGTGACACAGAGACATGGAGTGAGCACATGCTGTTGGAAAAATGGTGCCGATAGACTTGCTAGACACAGGCTTGCCACAGACCTTCAATTTGTAAAACACGCAATATCTACAAAGCACAATAAGGCGCAGTGCAATAAAACGGGGTATGCCTGTACTTGAAATTATGTGTAAATAATATATTGCTTTTGATATGTAAATAATACCTCTAAAATGTTTGAAATAGTTTGTTTTCTTAAGCAAATGAATACTGTTAGCAAAGCTGTAGGAAACATATTTCTTATCTTAGAGATCAGATTACCAGCATTTGAATCAGTGAGGCTTCATTGTACATTTTTTCAAATGTTATGTATTGCTTGGTATTTATTCCTGTGTCCTTTCATGTATGTGTGTTCTGCCTTCCACATTAAACTGGGAAATCCTTGTGGGACAGAGATTTGTCTTCTTTGTCTTCTGGACCCCAAGTATTCTCAAATCAGGATTGGCACACAGTTATGAATGCTTATTAACCAATGCCAGACAGTGGATACCAAACCACAGCGGGAAAGTGTGATTTGTTCCTATACCACCAGTTTGGAACTGTCTGTACTGATCCTCAAGGAAACTGAGGTATGTGGTTGGTACTTGGGGGACAGAGTAAAGAGCAGACACAATCCCTGTCCCTTTCAGGGAGCTCCCAGTGTCCTTGAGGAGCAAAGACAAAAACGTAAAAAACCATTTGGAAGTGATATAAATTACCAAGCTTCATGATGACCAAAAGTTGAAAGTGGGGACTTGGTTGGGAGAGATGCACTAGGATCCCTCTGGAGCTCTTCCTCTTGCATTGTGACCTTCAGTTTGCCCTGTGCCTATTTTATAGATCTGGAACTTTTGGGAGGAGGGGGAACCTTTTGCCTTCAAGACCATTGAATACCAGGACCAATATTGCTTTCTTTTCTCCTTCCTTCTAGGATGTCAAAAGTACCCTGGAAAAGTAAGTGATTCTTGTATCTCTTTGAGTGAGTTAGGTCTTGGCTTAGAGTTGAGGGGTACAGTAAGGAGTTGAGGCAGTAAAGATAGGAAAGTCATGCAGTGCCTAGGCAGGGTATGAGTGAAGGTTTATTGCACCCATGAAGCCAAGAGAACAAATTACTGGGAGTAATAATCCCTTTCCTTTTCCCCTTTGAGCATCAGGACTTCTTGGTAAGGAGAATGATAAGGTAGAACTGGAATTGATTTGTACCCTGTGGATGGAATTGTCTCTGAACAAGATTGTAGGAGGAAGGGGCTGGGAGAGCAGGGAGGGTGATTATCCATTTGCATGCAATGTAAAAATACCCCTAAGAAGTTCTAAGGCTCATTCTCAAGATAAGGTCTGTCCAGGGGATCATAAAAGAAGGCAATAGGTGAACTCTTGACTTCAGGGAGGAGGGAGAAAGTGGGAAGAAGGAGAATTTTAGTTTCTCCCTAAAGATGACAACATCCAAATACTAACTTGGCTGGAGCCTCCCCTGACCCTGCCCTTTCTTCCCCTATCTCTCTATCCCTCCTAGATGTGAGAAGGTGAAGACCATGGAGGTGACTTCAGTATCCATAGAGCTGGAAAAGAACTTCAGCAACTTCCCCCGACAGTACTTTGCACTAAGGAAAATCCTTAAACAGCTAATTGGTGAGTTGTTCCCAAAAGGAAACTACCAGAGGGAATCACTAGAGAGAAGAAAGTCTTTAGGTCCTATCTTATATGGGCTTTAGTTCTCCTGTCTCTCACTTTTCTTGCCCACACCTACAGCTGTCCCTTTACCTGGCTTTCATTCTGACCCTGACTCACAGAACTCAGAGTGAGAAGAAGCCTTAGGTGTCATCTGCTCTTAGGTCCACGCTTTTCTAAATAGAGAACCAGAAAGGTTAAATAATTTGCCTAAGTTGTCAGGTAGAGTGACCATACAATTTACCATCTAAACCAAGACAATCTTGAGAGTGAAAGGGAGTGTCATTAATACTAATACGCAAAACAGTCATAAACCAGGCCTGTTACAGGAACACAGACACATGGTCACCATATGCTGTCTCGCTCTGTCCTTCTCAACACTTCCCATTCTTTCTGGCCCTCAGGCTGTGCCTTGTACTTCTCCACATAGTGAGATAAATGATGATGTCAGACGGAGAGGGAGAGAGGACTAGGTGGCAACCTAGACTAACAGCCCCTGCAGAGTCAAGAGATTGTTACCTGTTTATTTTAGGGTCAGGGTGCAAAATGAGCCATTGTTCCCTCCCCTCTCTGTGGCGACACCGTGGACTGAGAAAATTAACCAAACCATAGTGTTCGGGGGACCTTTAAGGGACCAGGCTCGGTAAAGGCAGGCTGGTAGAGTGAGGCAGGGGCGTTTAGCTGTTCCCATCCTCATCTAGCTCCCCACTCTGGCTTCTCCCGCCAGCGGATGTGACCCTGGACCCTGAGACCGCTCATCCTAACCTAGTCCTGTCGGAGGATCGTAAGAGCGTCAAGTTCGTGGAGACAAGACTCCGAGATCTCCCTGACACACCAAGGCGTTTCACCTTCTACCCTTGCGTCCTGGCTACTGAGGGTTTCACCTCAGGTCGACACTACTGGGAGGTGGAAGTGGGCGACAAGACCCACTGGGCAGTGGGTGTTTGCCGGGACTCCGTGAGCCGAAAGGGCGAGCTGACTCCACTCCCTGAAACTGGCTATTGGCGGGTGCGGCTGTGGAATGGGGACAAATACGCAGCTACCACTACACCTTTTACCCCTTTGCACATCAAAGTGAAACCCAAACGGGTAGGCATATTCCTGGACTATGAGGCTGGCACGCTGTCTTTTTACAACGTCACAGACCGCTCTCATATCTACACTTTCAATGATACTTTTACTGAGAAACTTTGGCCCCTCTTCTACCCGGGCATCCGGGCTGGTCGGAAGAATGCTGCACCGCTTACCATCAGGCCCCCGACAGATTGGGAGTGATGGGTTGGGACGTGGGAATAACTGGGGTGAGGCAGGGTCAAGTGCTATGGGCCTTCCTTCCTATGTCCTGCTGGAACGTCTTCATGTCTGCCTGGTTCCAGTCCTGAATCATCATGGAGAAACACCTCGGTTTCTAGGATGGTTTGTGTGGAGTAGTTAGGACTGGGCTGTGATGAGAGAGCATAGCTGTGTCTCCCTCCTGACTGTCAGGGTGGGAGCTGGTTCCCAGGGGATTGTCTCCCATGAAGTCCATCAGGTCTTCTGTTGCACAAGGATGGGTTGGGAAGGAAGGAGAGGCTTTTCCAGAAACAAAAAATCTGTGAGAGGTTCTGACTTGGTCAAACTGGAGGAGGAAACAAACCCCTGTACATCCTTTCAGGGGATTCTTTGACTCAGAATAGTCTTGTTTCTTCAGGTAGATCACAGGGGTCTGTGTACCTCTAGATTGAAGAAAGATGAATGACAGTTGCTTTCACGGGTCTAGAAGTTGAGGAGTTTTTCTGAGGGCAGAGATTGGACATCAAAACCATTAGAAGGAAGGTCAGGGAACGGGGCTAAAGGAAAAGATTCCTAGAGACCAATGAAGGGGAGGGGGGTTTCTTTGGTCTTATATTCCCAGGGTAAGTTTGCCATTATGAGTAGGATTGGCCAGGGGTGGGAATGTGGGGAGAAGGAGAGGGTGAGAAGAAAGCAGAGGAGAACCCAAGTCCCTGCCTCAGCCTTCAGCAAAGTTGGCTTATTTCCTGCCTCCTTACAGTTGGTTGTCTCTAAGAAGTCAGTCACTTTGCTCCTCTCCAGAGGCAAGGTGGAGGAGATCTTGGAAGACACATCCACCCTTTCACTGGTTTCCCAAGGGAACTTGGAAAGGAGAGTCGGGTATTAGAGGAAAGAGAAAGGTATTTCTAGCCAAAGCTCTGGCCTTAAAGAATGTTACTAAGTACCTACTCCCAAGTTGTCAGTCTTGTTACCTGGCCAAGGTATCCGAGCCAGAAAGGAAGAAGGGTAATGGAGTTTTTCTCACCCTGAGGACAGGGTAGAAGAGGGTGGTGTGTATAGGGAAGGGCCAGAAGGGCAACTTCCTTTGGCCTGTGTGCATCTGGCCTAGAACACAAGAGCCAGACTTTTGCGTATTTTTTGCCATCCCTCACCCTTTGCCATTCCCCTTTTCAGAGAATGTAAATTATTTTAATGTTAGGCCAAAATAAACAACTTTAGGGTACATATGTTGTCATAAAAGGTAAAGCAATGCATGCCAAACCAAACTAAAAACGATTTGGATTATCTGCTCTTTGGGTAATCTTCACAGAAGACTGAGACAAGAAACTACAATTTATTGAGGGCACTTCAGTTCCTCCTACCACCTCAACAGGACTTTGTCCAGACTCTCCTCCTCTTACCTTTGTGCCTTGACTGTGGTTCTTTGTGGCAAGATACTTTGGTTGGCAAAAATAATATGGAACAAAGGATCCACTGAAGTGATCTCTGTTGTGTGGTAATTGGGTGATGGCCTTGTGTTGATGTGTAAGGATCACTGGGTGTTAAAAATGCATGTTCCTGGGTCTCACCCTCAGTGACTGATTAAGGGGGGGGCCTGGGCATCTACATTTTAAACACACATACATCTAATTTGAGTCTGAGGACCCTTGTGAAACTAGTACCAGAGGAAGTTTCAGCCATTTCCTTCCTCTGAGCTGGAGGCCTGGTTCTCTGCTCCAGCCTAGCAGGGAGTCTGAGGGGGCGGAGAGGTCCTGACTTGTGCTGCCCTCCCCATCTCAGGGTTCATTCATGTCCTGCCCCTGCAGCTCACATCCCTCTGCTTCTGACCTCAGGAACTGAGAGCCACTAACTGCAAGTCACAGGTTGCTAGACAGAACAAATGGGAGACAGAGGTCAGAGGAAAGGGTGTCAAGTGGATGTCTGTGTGGGAGGTGGGGTGAAGTCTCCGGGGCAGAGGTTGCTGTAGACAGGATTCTGTGCTGTACCTAAGACTAGGAGTTGCTAACCATTCCCTCAGCAAGTGAGGCTAACCTACTGTGTGCCCTGCTTAACACAAATTGTGTTTCTTTGGTAAGTGGGAGTAAGCTATGCTTTGAGGACCAGGAGTCCCCCTTCCTCCTTCCAGCACCCTCATGGCCCTTCTCACTTTCATCCCCATTGGTACCAGTGCTTTTTTGTTGTTTCTATTTTTTATTTTATTTTTTACTTTTTGTACGTATAACCTCTGTTCCTTGGTCGGTAGATCTTCCAGGCACCTGCCTTTGGCTTCGGGAGAGTAAGGCGGAATGTCTGGCAGTAATAAATTGCACATAACCATCTCCCCAACCTGTCTGCATAAAGAGACCAGTCTTCTGTTCTGAAAATGGTTAGCAAATTTAAGATCCTGCCCTTCTACACTAGGCTCTCCAGTCTCTACTTAGTATAACTGATCATGGGCTTGAGGAAAACGAAGAGATACAAAACTCTTAAAGGGACCCTGGGGTTGGATTGCAGGACACGGGTTTACAAATAGACGGTCTGTGCGGGCGTGGGCAGGGGCTCGCGGCCCGGGGACTACACTTCCCGGGGGCCCTTGCGCGGGCGCCGGGGGCGGGGCCTGCGGGCGGTCTCGGGGCGCCCGCGCGGCGCTGATGGCCGGGCAGGTGAAGGACCGTGAGGCCTTCCAGAGGCTCAACTTCCTATACCAGGTGAGCGCGCGACGGCGGCTGCCCGGGGAGCGGGGCCCGGTGCCGCAGGCCCCGGAGTGACCGCTTTCCTCCCGCAGGCCGCCCACTGCGTCCTCGCGCAGGACCCCGAGAACCAGGCCCTGGCGCGGTTTTACTGCCACACGGAGAGGACCATCGCGAAGCGGCTGGTCTTGCGGCGGTGAGACTGCCGCGGGACCTGGCGGCGGGCGGGACGCGGGAAGAACGGGAGAGGGAGCGCGGGCGCCGGGACCATCTTCCTTCTCCGCCCCCAGGGACCCCTCGGTGAAGAGGACTCTCTGTCGCGGCTGCTCTTCCCCGCTCATCCCGGGCCTCACCTGCACTCAGCGCCAGAGACGTGAGTGTTCCCCGCAGGCGGGATGATTGCGGAGCGCCGGGGGAGGGCGATATGGGAGGCCAGACAGCTCCCTCCTCGCTTTGGGTGGGTGTTGGGCTTGGGTTTCGCGGGAGTCGGCCTTCTCCAGCTCTGGGTTAAGTTGCTAACTCCACTTTCCCAGGATAAGGTTTGGGCTTGGCTTTTTTCCCCATCTGGCAATAGAGAAATGATGTTACTTTATGAGGCAACTCCACCCATGCGTCATAAATAGATGTTATTTGGCGTCGTGGAGCACATGATTCCTATCACCATTCGTGTTTTAAACAAATATTTTCTAAAATGTGTGAAGTACTATTCTAGATCAATATTCTCACTGAAATTACAGCCTGATGGGACAGACTAAGAAACAATTGAAATAGTGTAGAAAAAGTCTTTAATGGGGGAAGTAGAATGCTAAATTATTTATGCCAGTGGTGTAAGGTTCATGATAAGCAAAGGGAGTGAGAAATGGAAATTCTAGCCATGTGTGAGGCCTCTGAGACAAGCCGGCTTGTGGTGCTGTCAAGGAAATGAGAGTTCAGGGGGCAAGACATGAGGCTGGAGCAGGAAACAGGCCAGATCTTGAAGAATCTCGTTAAACAGTTTGGATTTTATCTTAAAGAGTTCCAAGAAATTGATGGAGTTTATGCAGGGATCTGACATCATCAAATTTGCATTGGAATTAGGGTGGGGTGGGGGGATTCCTACTGAAAAACAGTAGAGATAAAACTGGCTGCAGACCTTTTCTTCTAAACCTGGGCATTCTCTTCTTCTTCCCACTTTTACCTCAGGCCGAAGGGGACAGCGCTGGACAGTACAGACCTGCCTAACATGCCAGCGAAGCCAACGGTTCCTCAATGACCCAGAGCATCTGCTCTGGGGAGATAGGCCTGAGGCCCAGCTGGGGAGCCAGGCAGGTGAGAGCTGGTAGAGAAAATGGGCGATATCCCAAGAGGACAGGGACATGGGAAACGAAGTGCTCAAGAGGATACATGGGTGGATTCTGGGTTGGTGTGAGATGCCACCGTCTGAGAAAACTAATTCTGCTCCTATATTTCTGCTCATCTGCCCAGATCCCAAACCACCACAGCCCTTGATAACCATAGCCCAGCCCCTTCCAGCCCACCTTCCTGAGGAGAAAGTGCAGCCTCAGGACGCCAATGACCAGTGATGAATTCACCCCATCTTCCAAATAAAGTTTAATTCTGTTTTACTTTGCCAGATGCCTTTCTGTGGGTATTTCAACTCATAATTCCCTTTCCTTCTGTTTCTGTCTATATTTCTTGGTCACTGTACTCCCACTGTGCAGGGAGATCCCAATTTCCATAGACCACTTGGCCCCACCAAGCAGCTCCCATTTCCAGAGCCTTGGCTCGAGCTCCCTATCACCCTTTCTCGGTGCAATGCCATGTCTGTAACTCAAGCTCCAGAGTTCTTTGCAAGGTCGTGAGCCTTCTTAGAGCATTCCATATTTAGGTAGCCATGACTGTTGACTGAAGGGCTGGACAGAATGCTGATGTCACTGTTTCTGTTTTTAAGTGAGGGGGAGAATATGGGGCAGGGGGGAGTGTTCATATCCTCCAGGCCCACTCAGAGTTGGTCTTTTTTCAATCTCAAAGTTGTCCTCTATAAAATTCTAATAAAGGAAATAGTGCAAACATGAACTAACAAGGTGAAAGGTACTAAAAAAAAAAAAGACACCTTTTAACGTCCTTTTACATTACACAAGTATGTTTCATAGGTAAACATAATGTTTTCTTGAGAATGAGTGAACAAATAAAATATTTTCTTTGGCGTCCCTAGAGAGCCACTTGAGGACAGAATTCCCAGACTGACCTCTTTGCTGGTTGCCAGCTGACCAGTTTACCCCAAAAGTATACAAACAGAATTTACTATTCCCAGAATGAAATTTTCTTTCTTCTATTTCTCTTATAAATCTTGTGTCACACTCATCTGTTGCCTTAAAATCACTTTATCATGTAGCTTAAAATAATAATGATTTATTATTTCCTCTAATTCTGTGGGTTAGGAATTCTGAAAGAGTTTGGCTGTGTGGTTCTGCTCCATATGGAGTCAGCTAGAGTCATAGCTGCATTTAGCTGGTGTCTGGTCACTGGTCTGGAAGACCCAAGAAGCTTTACTTGGATGTCTAGCACCTCATTACTTTTCCAGGTGGACTTGCTACTCAGCCAGCTTTGACATCTTCACAGCATGGCTGTCTCAGGGTGGTTGGACTTCTTACATCCCTTTTGGCTTCCATAGAGAGCATCCCAACATGCACGTTCTTATCAAGCCTCTGTTGGTGTGGCACTTGCTAATGTCCCTTTGGCCGAAGCAAGGCATATGGCCAAGGCCAGATTCAATGTGGAAGGGACTACACCGGGGTTTGAATACGGGGAGGTTCTTTGGTTCCTTGGGGACCACCAGTGTAACAATCTGCCACATCCTTGTTTTGCCTTTGTCCCTGACTTGGTCTCTCCACTGACTCCTTCACATTTCAGTAAATAATTTGCATAGAAAATACTAAACAGTGCAAGTAACTAAATGTTTTTGAGTTATTCTTTGACAGTTTATTTCTGGAAATAGTGCCTACCTGGGTCAACCGTGGCAGCCAATTAAAACATGTAGCCTGAAAGTACACCGCATGCGTACCTGGACCCTTCGCATCCGCACCTCACCTTCCTTGGCTCCTCTAGTGAGTCTCATTTCAGATGATTGGGCTCTTTGACTCATGTACGCTAAATCTGATTCATGGCCAAGTTTGTCCTGAGTGTGTTATGATTTGTGCGTGACTGAGCACGTCCACAGTGGGATAGCAGTCGGGAAACTGAGTTTTGATTTCATGACTCAATCGTTAAGTGATTCCTCTCCTGTCATAGGAATCAGGTCCCAGCTGGGAGGCAGACAGAACAATCTGGAATATGGTTCACTTGTGAGTCTGGTTTCTTCATTTGTTGTATGTTTCCATCGGTAGAGTTGCCTCTGACCTAACGATCATAGCACTCCTCCTTCCAAAACTCTGTCCTTTTCGTGTTTACTTACACATATATTACATGATTAGACTTAACATACAATTATATTTCCTATGTAATATAGATATATATAACATGATAGTTGTATAATATATGCAAAGAGAAATTTCCTATATCACAGTTGAAAAGAAACCAAATCCCTACTATGCAATAGCTTTTTCAAGCATTTCTAACAATTCAGTAATTCAAAATTTATGCCCTTTCAGGACCCTAAATAAAATTAAAGGAGAGAGGAAAAACTTAGGTCATTCAAATTAAATCAAGAAATGAGTCCAAGATTGAAGCCCACTTCAAAAACAAAAAAAACATGAGATCTTCTATTAGCCATAGAAACCAAGCCTTAATCATTCCTTGAACAGCAAGTTCATTTGGCACTTTCAAAACTGGTAAAAATGAGTATGATTATTGTCAGGAGAAAGAAGGATTGAGAGACTGTTATTCTAAATTCAAAAGGCAATTATCATAGAAAATTATTTAGATTCTCAACAATGGGAATAATAAAAATTTTGGTTTTGTATACCTCACATAGTTATCAAATAAGATAATGTAAGTGGAGGCACCTTAAAAATTGGATATTATAAGGTATTTTAATAAGTAATCATAATAATACTTTGGAAGTAATAACTAGCAAAATATATTTAAAAAGACAGTCATAGGCTGGGTGTGGTGGCTCACGCCTGTAATCCTAGCACTCTGGGAGGCCAAGGTGGGTGGATCGTTTGAGCTCAGGAGTTCTAGACAAGCCTGAGCAAGAGCGAGACCCCGTCTCTACTAAAAATAGAAAGAAATTAGCTGGACAATTAAAAATATATATAGAAAAAATTAGCCGGACATGGTAGTGCATGCCTGTAGTCGCATCTACTCAGGAGGTTGAGGCAGAAGGATCACTTGAGCACAGGAGTTTGAGGTTGCTGTGAGCTAGGCTGACGCCACGACACTCTAGCCTGGGCAACAGAGTGACTCTGTCTCAAAAAAAAAAAAAACAGTGTGTATCTCTAATTTTAAATATTATTATATCACCATGAGGATGATGCCTGTGTCTGGTCAGTGCTCAATAAAGTTTTTAAACTATTTTGAAATAATTATAGATTCACTGGAAGCTGCGGAGAGTGTACAGAAAGATCTCCTACATCCTCACCCAGTTTCCCCCTGTGCTTACTGTTTTTATTGTGGTATTGTAAAATATACTTAACATAAAAGTTTGCCATGTTAATGTTTAAAGTATATAATTCAGTGGCATTAATTATATTTGCAATACTGTGCAACCAGCACCATTATCTAGTTCCAGAACTTTTTCATCAACCCAAACAGAAACCTGTTTCCATTAAATGGTCACTTCCAGTTCCTTCCTGCCTCAACCTCTAGCAACCACTAATCTGTTTTCTGCCTATGGATTTGCCTATGCTGCATATTGCATATAAATGGAATCATATAATTTGTGGCCTATTGTGTCTGGCTTCTTTCACTTAGCATGTTTTTAAGGTTCCTCCATGTCGTAGTATGCATCAGTACTTCATTCCTTCCTATGGGTGAATAATATTCCATTGTTTTGATATACCACATTTTGTTTATCCATTTATCTGTCAACAGACACTTGGGTTGTTTCCACCTTTTGGCTATTGTGAATAGTGCTGCTATGAACATTTATGTACAAGTTTCTGTCTGAGTACCTGTTTTTAATTCTTTTGGTTATACACCTGGGAGTGGATCATACAATAGTTCTATGTTTCACTCTTTGAGGAACCACCAAACATCTTTGCACAGCTGCTGTACCATTTTACATTCCTACCAGCAACGTAAGAGTTCAAATTCCTCCTCGTCCTCGTCTACTTTTTATTTTCCATTTGTTGTTTTTTATAGCCATCCTAGTGGATGTAAAGTGATTAACTCTTTGTGGTTTTGATACACATTTTGCAAATGACTAATAATGCTGAGCATCTTTTCATGTGTTTGTTTGCCATATGTATATTTTCTTTGGAGAAATGTCTTTTCGAGACTTCGGCCCATTTAAACAAATTGAGTTGTCTTTATGTTTTGAGTTGTAAGAATTCTTTATATATTCTGGATACTACACCCTTATCAGATATATGATTTACAAATATTGTCTCTGATTCCATGAGTTGTCGTTTTACTATCTTGATAGTATCTTTTGATGCAAACTTTTGAACACAAGTTTTTAATTTTGATGATCTGGCAACTACTTCCTTGAGAACCAAACTGTCTCTCTCAGACCTTATCCTCTGCCTCCAACCAGACTCCTTTTGGAACTTATTCTAACCTTGGTCCTCCTCAGTGTGACCCTGCCACTACTCAATTAGGACTCCCTTACTGCTTTCAGACCTGATGCCTCCACCTATGTCCTGCCTCATTCTGCTTTGAAACAAGAAAATATTCCCCCTGGACTCTTAAAATAGATGCGGATGTCTGGGTTTCTCCTCCCTTTTCTCCTAAAATCCTGCCCATTCTCAGGGTGGTCACATGAACCCTGTTGAATAGCCCATGGAAAGGAAATGAATGTTCTAAATCCTTTGGACCCTCCAAAGGCACCCCCACCACCTGACTGTGAAACCACCCTGAGGTGCTGGGCCCTGGGCTTCCACCCTGTGGAGATCACACTGACCTGGCAGCGGGATGGGGAGGACCAGACCCCAGGACGTGAAGCTTGTGGAGACCAGGCCTGCAGGGGACAAGACCTTCCAGAAGTGGGCAGCTGTGGTGGTGCCTTCTGGAGAGGAGCAGAGATACACGTGCCATGTGCAGTACGAGGGGCTGCCAGAGCCCCTCACCCTGAGATGGGTAAGGATTGGATGAGGGTGTCAGGTCTCTTCTCAGGGAAAGTAGGAGCCTTTCAGCAGGGTCAGGGCTCAGATCTGGGTTCAGCGCCCCTCACCTTCCCTTTCCTTCCCAGAGTTGCCTCCTCAGCCCACCATCGCCATCATGGACATCACTGTTGGCTGGGTTCTCCATGGAGCTGTGGTCACCAAAGTTGAGTTCAGGAGGAACAAGAACTCAGATTGTATCTCTGGAAACCCCTGACGTTTCTTCCTCCAAGACGCATCTGACATGTGTTTCCCTCCGAATCAACACCTGAATCGACAGTGGCCCTGCTCACTCACACCTCTCCCCACACAGCCTCTTCCCCTTACACAAACTTTCCTCTTCCATGAGAGAAGGGGCTGGGAAGT